GTTTTTTGCTTTGTAAGTTGAGTTTTAGAATGGCTAGAGTTGACCCTTTACAGGTAGATGAGTTACGAATTAATGGAGCCTGCCCATTCCATGCGTAACCTGAGGATTCATGGGAGTGAATCTCATACATTGAACGTGATCACTCCCTCATTTCGCCCACGCATTTGCTAATCGAATTTGTGGCTCGTTAAGTGCACGAGGTATTTCAGGATGGGGAAGGCCATGGGGGGAGGGGCTAGTGATGGAACAGGCACCTGCCTAAAACCACCCAAGGCATTCCCAACCCACTGAAATACCCCATATGCCCCACAATTGCTTTCCCCAACACCAGGGGTGAAATGCTCCCGGTTTGGACCAGATCGCCCAATCTGGTAGCGATGGCGGTGGGTGGTTCGGAGAACCAGTAGCAAAACCCCCTGTGCGCCCCCCGCCCATGCCCAGCTGAGCTGCGCAATCATCAGAGGCTGTTTTTATTTTACTTTTAAAAGCATTTTTTTCTACAATCTCTTTGGCTGAAAAAATGCTTTTAAAAGTAAAAAAAAAAAAAGCCTCTGATGATTGTGCGGCTCAGTTGGGATCGTCAGAGGCTTCTAAAAGCATTTTTTTCTGCAACCTCTTCGGCCGAAGAGGTTGTAGAAAACAAAATGCCTTTAAAAGCCTCTGGCGATCCCAGCTGATTTGCCTGATCGTCAGAGGCTTCTAAAAGCATTTTTTTTCTGCAACCTCTTAAGGTTGTAGAAAAAATGCTTTTAAAAGTAAAAAAAAAAAAAGTTGGCCAGGCCCACCCAGTCACATTACCCCCCCACCAAGCCACGCCCACAGAACCGGTAGTAACAAATTTTAGATTTCACCCCTGCCCAACACCCAGTGAATACCGGCTGCATCAGGTCACTTACTTTTTGAAGATCTGACAAGCAGTGTCCTCTTCAGCCTCTCAGCTGTGTGCGCCCCTCTGAGACTCCATTCAGGCCTCCAGAAGCCTCGCCAGGCATGTTGCCAGCCAAAATGGAACGTCTAAGGTGTAGAAATCAGGATCCAAACTTTTGCTCTGTCCGAAGATGTCTCTCTCTGCTTTCACAGAGTCTTTTATTTTTTATACAGTTTTTTTACAAGCAGACAAAAGGCAAGACAGCAACAGGGCTCTAATTGGCAGATACTCCTCCCTGTTCTCCCACTCAGAAGGAAGGTGAGATAATACACACCAGAGCCAGAATGAGATCATACAGGAAACAAGATACATGACACCAGAAGCGAGGCAGTTTGCTGACACACGGCTCGATCTCATGACCTTCAACCTCTACACTGAGGGACGGATCTGCCCCTTAGAAGCTCCATTTCAGCCGGCAACTTGTCAGGTGAGGCCCCTGGAGCCTGAACGGAGTGGAGGAGTTGCAGATCTGCCTCCCAGAAGCTCCATTTTGGCCAGCAATGTGCAGGACGAATGTTGCAGAGCCTCTGCAGTTGTTCATAATGGTGAACAACTGCTGTGGTGCTGAAAGATTCATAGTTTTGGGACTTGTTCTTGTTTACGAACAAGAACTAGGTGGTTCTTACCCAGGGGTGAAATGCTACCTGTTCAGGCTGGTTCGCCTGAACTGGTAGTAAAAAATGTAAAAAAAAAAAAAAGTTCCGACGATCAGGTGAGCAACCCGCTATCATCGGAACTTTTTTTTTTTTTTAACTTTTTTAGCATTTTTTTACTACCAGTTCTCCGGAACTGGTAGCCTTTTTTTTACTTTTTTAAAGCATTTTTTACTACCTATTCGCCTGAGCCGGTAGCAAAAAAATGCTTTTAAAAGGTAAAAAAAAGGTTCTGATGATCGCGCGGCACAGCTCTCATCTTTGGGACCGTTTTTTTATCTTTTAAAAGCATTTTTTTACTACCTATTCGCCCGAGCTGATAGTAAATGCGCCCAGCTCGCATTTGGTGCGCACTGTGCGTGCGCATGCACAACCATTGAACCGGTAGTAAACTGGTTCAGATTTCACCACTGCTCTTACTGTGTAACTTTGAATCTTCACTAAGGAAATGCTTGTAAATCGGGGATTACCTGTACTCTTTCTTCTAATAATTCATTTAATTTACATTTGGTACATATATAATTAGGGTCTGCTGTGGGCATAAGCTTAAACATATTTTGCAAGTCACGTCAGTCTCTTTTTCTATGAGCTTTTTTTTCTAAAAATTAAAAATGTATTTTGTTTAAAAAAAGAAAAATTAAAAACTTTTAATTTAAAATTAAATTTACATTTTTTTAAAGAAAATTAAAATTGTAGTTTTTAAAATTTTAAAAAATCCCATCTTTTAAATCATTCTCTCCTTCACATGGACTTTCAAGTCACTTTCACCCACCGCAGGGAGATGGAACCAACCAAATGGTTCCGTCCCAGGCGCCTGATGGACCCCGAAAGGTTCCTGATGGAGCTTGGGCCATTTCCTGAGACTCTGGCTCACGACTCGACTGAGGACCTGGTGGTCGCCTGGGACAGGGCAGCTACTGGGGCCTTGGACCGCGTTGTGCCTTTGCGGCCTCTGACCCGATGCCGATCTCGTCTAGCTCCTTGGTTTTCCGAGGAGCTGAGAGAGATGAAGCGTCGGAAAAGACACCTGGAGAGCGATTGGAGGACAAGCCGATCTGAATCTGACTGAACACAGGTGAGATCTTATATTAAGACCTACCTAGTGGCGATAAGGGCGGCGAAGTCTAGCTACTTCTCCGCTCTTATTGCATCTGCAGAGAACCGCCCAGCTGCGCTGTTTAGGGTGACCCGCTCCCTACTTCAGGTGGGGGTACAGGAAGATCCCTTAAAAGGTCGAGCTGAGGATTTTGTACAATTCCTGCATGATAAAGTCGCTCAGATTCGGGAAGGCCTGGACTCCGATTGGGTAGATCCAGGGGAGGAGACGGGGGCAGGTCTTGAGAGCGTTATCTGGGAAGAGTTTGACTCTGTGACTCCTGAGGACGTGGACAGGATTCTGGGCAAGCTTAACGCTGCCACATGTTTATTGGACCCGTGTCCCTCCTGGTTGGTACTGGCCTCCCGGGAGGTTACACGAGGCTGGCTCCAGGGGATTATAAATGCTTCTCTGAGTGAGGGTGTCTTTCCCGCTGCCTTGAAAGAGGCGGTTGTGAAGCCCCTCCTCAAGAAGCCTTCCCTGGACCCGGCTATATTATCAAATTATTGTCCAGTCTCCAATCTTCGCTTTGTTGCAAAGGTTGTTGAGAGTGTGGTGGCGCGACAACTACCCCGATACCTGGATGAAGTTGTCTATCTGGATCCATTCCAGTCGGGCTTCAGGTCACGATACAGCACGGAAACGGCATTAGTCGCGTTGGTGGATGATCTCTGGAGGGCTCGGGACAGAGGTTGCTCCTCTATCCTGGTCCTATTAGATCTCTCAGTGGCTTTTGATACCATCGACCATGGTATCTTACTGCACCGGCTGGAGGGGTTAGGAATAGGGGGCACCGTGCTTCGGTGGTTCTCCTCCTTCCTCTCTGACCATTCACAGTTTGTGTTGGCAGGGGGGCAGAGGTTGACCTCGAGGCACCTTATTTGTGGGGTGCCGCAAGGGTCAGTCCTCTCACCCCTTCTGTTCAACATTTATGTAAAACCGCTAGGCGAGATCATCCGTGGTTTCGGGATGAGTGTTCATCAGTATGCTGATGACACACAGCTATACATCTCCACCCCAGACCACCCCAACGATGCCCTTGCTGTGATGTCCCGTTGCCTGGAGGCTGTGTGGATCTGGATGGGGAGAAACAAGCTCAGACTCAACCCCTCAAAGACCGAGTGGCTGTGGCTTCCGGCGTCCCGGTATAGTCAGCTGGTACCATCACTGACAATAGGGGATGAGATCTTGCTCCCCACAGAGAGGGCCCGCAACTTGGGTGTCCTCCTGGATTCACGGCTATCTTTAGAAGATCATTTGACGGCCGTGGCCAAGGGTGCCTTTTATCAGGTTCGCCTGATCCGCCTTTCTGGATCGGGACGCCTTGCGCACAGTCACTCATGCCCTAGTTACCTCCCGTATGGACTACTGTAATGCTCTCTACATGGGGCTCCCCTTGAAAAGCACCCAGAGGCTCCAACTAGTCCAGAATGTAGCCGCGTGGGTGATTATGGGCACAGCTCGTTACGCCCATGTAACACCTCTCCTACACGAGCTGCACTGGCTCCCGGTGGTCTTCCGGGTGCAATTCAAGGTGTTAGTTATCACCTTTAAAGCGCTCCATGGCTTAGGACCTGGGTACCTACGAGACCGTCTTTTGCCACCAATAGCCTCCCACCGACCAGTTCGTTCTCACAGGGAGGGACTACTCAGAGTACCGTCAGTCAAATTATGCCGACTGGCGACTCCCAGGGGGAGGGCCTTCTCTGTGAGGGCTCCAACCCTTTGGAACGAACTGCCCCCGGAGATACGGAATATCCCTGATCTCTGTGCTTTCCGCCGTGCCCTCAAGACCCTGATGTTCCAACAGGCGGGGCTAAACATATGAACATGTGAATGATTTTTTTTTTAAACGTTATCTAATTCTGGGTTTTATTTAATTGACCAAACTAAGTAATAATTTTAATTAGCAATTTTATGATGTTTGTGTGTCTATATTTTTCTTGACTGTACACCGCCTTGAGTCCTACGGGAGAAAGGCGGTATAGAAATATAATAAATAAATAAAATAATAAATAAATAAATGTGCCTTGCTTTCATTCCAAATTATTTCACTAGAGAACAATGGTGCCTTCTGTAGAATGTTTGCACACAAACTGAAATATTTGCTTGGGAGACCAGAATTGAGAAAACTCTTGTTTTGAGGTGAAGTAAACTATTAATCCAGAAATTTCAGAAATACAGCAATTGAGAGATGCATGGGAAACAAGCTGTTAAGGCAACAATTTTGTTATATGTTGGAAATGTTGCAGAAGTGGTGTATAACTTTTTACTTTATTAGTTAAGCAGGACATGATATAATGACAAAAAAGAAACCTTGTTTTGTTAACGGTGTTCATTATTTATTTATTTATTTACTTTTTTGCAGCATCCTCGATAGCAAAGCCGCTGGACATAGATTGTCTCGTACTTTTTCAAATTTGAAGTGAATAAAACTCAGTTCAATCCATCCGACAATGGAGTCCTCCGTGCTGAATGCCGAAATATCCGCTTTGAGGCATTTTCTGCCATAAAATAATGCATAATAGCTACCGAAGCCTTCCTTGACGAAGTTTTACAAACTTTGAAAATGTACGAATTGGGACACTTTAACTGGAGCCACACTTCATGGCAACATAATTGGTTTGGCTCAATAGTTCAGTTCACAGCCCGGTCACCATTCCCGCCCACAGCCCCTGGCCTTTGCCATAACAGAGGAAGAATGATTTTAACCATGCAAAAATAACATTTTCAACCACGCATCTCTGCGCCCGTCCTTCCTCAACAACCGCGGCCGCGCCACGCCGGCGCGCTGTTGCAAAATCCAAAAGACCTCCGCCAACGGCAGCAGTTATTCCGCCCGGAACCTCCAGCCTCTCGCGAGACTCTCAGCTACGGTTGGGGGCGCGCAAGATTTGAAGGCAGCCTGAGGGCGCGAGGAAGCTGGCGCGAGTGGCGGAAACAGATCCGTTGGCGCAGGTGAGACGGTTGGCTTTGTGGCGCTGCGCCTCCGCCGGGATCCAGCCTGCGCTGCGGTCTCTGGGCCTGAGGGTAGCAGGGGATCCTCTCCAGCCTTTCGTGGGAGCGCAGCAGGGTTCGGAGGGCGGGCGTATCCGCGGGCCGGCGGGGTTTTGGAAAGAGGCCAGAAGCGTCTCCGCAGTCCCCCCCCCTCCAAACTGTCCATTAGGGGCCTCTCAGCTTAAGTAAAGGAAATACATTTCGATGCCCCTTCCATTAGTTTGTTGATGTTTCTCTGCTACCATATTAGGATCTGGACCATTTTTAGACCCAAAACTACTGCTTTGGGTTTGGTTTCATGAAGGTCCTTTAAATTAGCTGCAACTGTTCCTGGGATCATGTGACTATCATTGGAAAGCAGTTCTGTGGCTTTGGCAGAACATGCCTATAGCCATGCCTTCTAAAACACTACCTTGGAATTAAATTTAAAGTAGTTTATAGCCTATAACAGAATTAAATCATTACTGAAGGTATTTTTCTGCCTGGGAGACTACAGATGGCCTTTGTTTTGATTTTAAGGAGTTTGACATAAGGTTAGATGTGGACCTTCTGCGATGCTTTTCTGAAAACTAGTCTCCATTATGGATTAATTTTGCTACGACTAAGCTGTCAAGATGAACTATTGTTTATTAGATGAACCAGCCATAATGGGATGAACTGTCTTCATGAAGGAAAGAATTGGAAGTAATGTCTTCCATATTTGTGTCACCTTTGGTCATTGTGTTTTCCAAATATTCATATCAAGGAAATGCACTGAACAAAGAAAACTTGCAAAAGGTGAAACACCACCAAGGCTGGGCACTGCAGAAGCAAGGAACTAGTTAATGGAATTGATACAATAAGTGTTCTTTGTTTTCCACATTTTTCCTTCTCATTGCAGCTATGAAAGGGGAAAAGTTGTTTGATATTAGGAAGGCCTTTGAGGAAGCTCAAAAACTTCACCAAAATCAGGCCAAATTGGTGGCATCTTTAAAGCATACCTATAATGAGGTAAGTATTGTTTATCATTCCTTCTTGTGGGAGTTCCCACATTGGTTTGCAAAAGTCATTATACAATCATTCTGTTACTTATCAGAAGACTTCAGATGTGAAAAACATGAAGCCTTTAAGAAAGCATGGAAAAACAAGGTGGCAAAAATGGGGAAAAATAATGAGGAAAATAGTAGTACTTGAGAACAAGAAGGTCAAAATCCTATGGGATTTTCATTTAGCCCATAATAAATCAGACATATTTGCAATTCCAAAGAAACAGTATGGATATTTGACATTGCAGTAGCTAGAGAAAGATACCCATCAATAAGAAAGAACTAGAAAAAAATTATTGTTCAATCATGAAATTGTGTACAACTGTTTGCAATTCCATGGACCATAGTACACCAGACCCCCCTGCCCTCCACTCTGTCCCAGAGTTTGCTCAAATTCATGTTCATTGCATCAATGACAATACCTAACCATCTCATCTGCAATCAAGATAGCAAATGTGGAAAAACAAAGTGCTGGAATGTCTCCTAAAATTGTAGTATTATTTTGTGCTCCTCCAGTAATTGTGGAAGTAACTTCCAGCATTCCTCATGCTGATCTATGCTTTCTGGGATTAGCAGAGTTATGTTGACATGTAGAAATGTCTGTTTAAAAGCCAGTTTAAGGAGAAATACTGTTGAGAAGAATATTTTGAATGGGATGTATCATTAAGAAGGTCTGCAAATGTCTTGACTGAATTCTTTGGAGTTTGACATTTGTTTGATGTATCTAGCCTTTTCTCCAAGAACTTATAACTTAATTTTTGCTCCTAGTTACAAGACAAGGACTATTTTCATGAAAAGTTTGTTCATTACCTGAAGTATGCCATGGTAATCTACAAACGAGAACCGGCAGTGGAACAAGTGATAAATTTTGTGGCCAAGTTTCTGGCTTCGTTGTATAATTCGGAGAAAGAGGATGCTGAAGAGGAAGAAATGGAAAATCCCTTTCTAAATTACCTGTTCACCTTTCTCCTTGAGGTACTATATCTGCAAAGTAATAAGAAATAATTGGTACTACATAGATAAAAACTTTCATTAAAATGTGTATCCAGCACCATCTGAAACTGAAAATAATGGCCCAATACATCTATGTGTATTAATATGACATTGTGTGTGTGTGGGGGGGGGGGAGAGCTTTATCTTTTTCTGCCTTTGTTAAGGAAAGCAGTACAAAGCAATTGATTAGTTTTTCTTAAGTTAGAGTTTCTGAAATTCATTTATACAGGAGAGTCATTTGTATTCAAGTCTCTGTGTTACGCTTAAATCTGTGGCTTCCACATATTTGTTCCACAAATGAAAATTGCTGTCTTTGCACAATAACCTTTGCTAAAATTGCTGTCTTTAATGAAAGGTTATTGTGCAGAGCATTTCTGGACAGGGGCAGATTTTCTGTGCTTAAGAAAGGGGACATAAATTAATATACATAAGGATCTGAGCATAAGGGTTGGATTTTTTGTCACTGTAAACAAAATAGTACAATTTGTACCTCAGTTACTATTGTGTGACCAGAGCTATATAAAAGCTGAAGCACAAATTTTAAAATCTATAATTGTGTATAATCACAGTAACACTGAATGTTTAAAAATATCTCTTTGTCTTTAAGTCCCACCCCGCTAACAGCAATGCAGTTAGATTTCGTGTGTGCCAACTTATTAATAAACTTTTGGGAAGTCTGCCAGAGAACGCCCAGATCGAAGATGAATTGTTTGATCAGATTAATACTGCTATGCAGCTCAGAGCAAGAGACAAAGTACCAAATGTGAGAATCCAAGCTGTGTTGGCTTTGTCTAGGCTTCAGGATCCCAAGGACGACCAGTGTCCAGTTGTTAATGGTACATTCCTTGCCAATTCGTGTGGTTTATTAAATTTATTTCTGCTGTTCTTTAAAAGAAAAAGCTGCAATATTTTAATTTTAGTATTTAATATGGCAGAAACTCTTCAAACTCAGATTGTTTTTGATTTTTATTATTTTATTATATTTTGAAATTATTAATCATAGTTAACTCGGGAGGAAGGCTTGGTGGACTGGCAGTGTGAATTTATTTGTTAGATTTGTGTGCTGCCCATCTTATCTATATTCTATATGAATTGTTAAAATAGTTTCCTTAAATTTTGTTTTGTTCTCTTCATGTTGAAAGAGATGCCTAGTAGAACAAAATTGCTACCAAAAATCCTATGAATGTTGTGAATAAGTTTAAAAGGTTTTTAAAAATCTGGGGGTAAAATGTATGTTAAGATTCTCTTAACTTTTGTTATTATTTTTCTAGAAAAAGGACTTTTGTTTGTAAAGAAGGAGCTTAACTAGTAGCAAATCGGGCTCCAACAGTAGTTGGTAGTGAGCATTTCCTGTGGGAATCATCCAGCTTTACACAACAGTCAGAAGCTTTTGGCTGCAAAGAATTTATTAATAGCAATCCTATGAAGTGTGGAGCTACAGACTGTCGTCCTGAGTTACTTAGATAGCTGCTGCTGAGCTTTAGCTAACCAAGCTTGTAAGGCTGAATGTTTTGGAGAATTTCTGCATTTCAGCTTCTCTGCACTCTGTTTTATTTATGTTGATATTCCTATCAGTAACAAACCTGTCATAATAATTTTTCTTCTCAGTTTACAACAGTTTAATTGAGACTGACTCCAACTCAGAAGTAAGGCGTGCTGTGTTGTTCTGCATTAGTCCATCAGTTAAAACTCTACCCAAAATTATTGGTCGTACCATGGATGTAAAAGAGACAGTCAGGAAATTAGCATATCAGGTGAATAAATATCTGGTAATGTCACTTGCTATTTATTCTCTGTGTTAAAATTATATAAACTGTTGGAGAATTTAGCTGGTAGAAGAATATGTCTTTATATATGGATCACACTCTGTAAGAAAATACTTTAAATTTAAGAGAAACGTTTGTTTTTATCTATCAGTATCTGCAGAAAGAACTGTTCAGGTGAGCTGTGCTGAAGTGCTGAAAATTTCCTTTGGTTTTATTTGGAGATCTTTCTTTGAAATGGCCCCAAATAGATGGGGGCCAACCCCATTTTTGTACTGTTTTCTGTGGATGTAAACGCATTAATATTATCATTGGCTATTAAGTTAATTTCATATTGCTGAGAACTTACGAGTTGAAGTTGAGTACTGGCTATGTCACATGCCATGCTTCATCCACTGTGATTTTATATGACATTCTGGATTCTAGATTCATCAGAAACATAAATGTTGGAGTGTTATTTTATTACCTGTTTAATACGATTGCCAACCATCATACCATTCAGACAGTTATAGGTAGGAACTAGCAGAACACTCACATCAAAATATATGCCCAGTCTGTTTAAAAGAACAATCCTATCAGCCAAATCGGCTGAAGTGGTACAGCTAACAAATCTTCATTCCTGGACTTGGATTTATGCACTGGTTAAAAAGATTCTCTATTAATAGCAACTTTTGAGCATCAACTTTTGAAGATCTTAGGGGTTCACTTTGAGGGCACAAAGTCACCATAAGAATACATGATTTATTTTTAAATGGCAGGATACAATAAAACAGCTATGGTCTTAAGTTGCATTTTAGTCAGTGTATTGGGATGTAGTAGTTGTTTTTTTTTTCAAAAAAAGGCAGTTTTGCAGAATGTCTTATTCTACAGTTGTGTTAGCTTTGTGACTTGTCTGTTTACAGTTTCAGAGGCAATTGCCAGTTGTGTTGAGTATCCTTCAGTGTATTTGTCTTTATATGCTATTAATCCATATTATTCAAAGGAAAAATTATGTGAAAATTTTTTTTTAAAGGTACTGGCAGAAAAAGTTCATGTCAAAGCTTTGACAATAGCCCAGAGAGTAAAACTTTTGCAGCAAGGACTTAATGATAGATCAGGTAAAATGTTTTCATTTTAATTTAAATGTTTTAAAGCAGTTTTCTTTTTTCCAATACATGCTTAATATATGTCTAGATACTGATGGGAGACAGGATTCCAATTTAAAACAACTTGGGATGTTCATACCATGTTTCCCCGAAAATAAGACCCTGTCTTATATTTTATTTGAACCCTGAAATAAGCACTTGGCCTTATTGCCATGAGCTCAAAAGCCTGATTGGGCTTATTATCAGGGGATGTGTTATTTTGGGGGAAACAGGGTAGGATTAATAATACTGTGTGTCCCTGAAAATAAGACCCGGTATTATATTTGCCACCAAAAAAAGGCACCAGGTCTTATTTTGGGGGAATGTCTTCCACTGACTCACTTCATGGCGGTGGCACCGACAGCCCAGGCCAGCAGTAGCCTGCTGCCAGCTCACTACTTCTGCTGCCGGTTGCAGAAGTTGTCCCCAACCTCCATTTTGCCTTCAGGAAAGGCCTCTGCACCTGAGAAATGGGCTCTGGATTGATGCACTCGGGTTTGTTTCGCCATCAGAAGCCTTCAAGGAAAGGCCTCTGGAACAGATAAAAGAGCTCTGGATCAATTGGTTCACCTCTGACAGCGAAATGAGGCCGGGAGGACACTGCGCGTGTCAATCCGGAGCCTGTTTTGCCTGCAGAAATCTTTCCTGAAGGCCTTTGATGGCGAAACAAGGACGGGGGGGGCACCACATGTGTCAATCCGGAGCCCCTTTCTCGGCTGCAGAGGCCTTTCTTGAAAGCCTCTGATGGCAAAACGGAGGCTGGGGGCAACACACGCGAGCGATGGTAAGCGGCCGCAGAAGAAGTGGGCTGGCAAGGCGAGGCAGGTGTTGGGGTATGCGAGGCCTGGCTGCAACTGTCTGAAGGTAAGCAGCTCAACCCTCCCCTCCCCATCCTTGCTTGATTTTTACTTGTGCGCCTTGCCCCACCCCGTGCAACCAGGTGCAGGGGAGTGGGTGGGGTCTTAACTTTGGCTTATTTTGGGGGTATGAGTTATATTGGGCGCACATGTAAAAATCAAGCTAGGGCTTATTTTTGAGATAGGTCTTATTTTCAGAGAAACACAGTAGTCAATTCAGAACTTACCATGTTTTCCCTGCAAATAAGACATCCTGAAAATAAACCCTAGCCTGATTTGTAAGTATGCCCCAATATAAGCCCTACCCCCAAAATAAGCCCTAGTGAAGATCGTCATCAGTTGGGTGTGTGTGTGTGTGTGTGTGTGTGTGTTGGGCATGGCCAGCACAGGTGGTGGTGAGTGTGCGGGGGGCCGACGGTGTCTGGCAGCAGCCATGGGCAAGCAGAGAGACAGTGGGAGGGAGTGGGCGGGCATGACAGATGTATGAACCTCCCAAACACTTAGACCTACGGGCAGAAAATAAAACAATGGGGAAAAAAGTAAGTAATGGGAGGATGTTCTTGCTTCTGAGTATACCAATTCAGAAGCTCACATATATTGAACGCCTGAGTCAAAACTGTAAACCTCCATCGGCTGAGAAGGGGCAATGAAGCTAGAGGAGAAAACCTATCCTCCCCCCTCCCCCCCCACGCCCTAAGGGCTGGGAACAACCAACGACCACCTGCCCAACCACTTGTCCCCTCACAAACAAGGGCAGCGATCCATGAGGTGTTTAGCACGGCGGCTCCTTCCCTTCTCCGGTCACCTTATGGAGGCTTGGCCCCTTCCCTCCCCACCAATATGACTCCAGTGGCCAGGTCTTGGTGCCTGTGTGTGAGAGGGTGCAGGATAGTGGCACTTAGTGGCAGCGTAGTGGCGGGATCAACAATGTGGGTAAAGTGCCACCCTGAGCTCAGCCTGGAGCTGACTCAGCTTCTTAATCACTGCCTTTTGTTCCATCTCTCTGGGTACCTGGAGGTGTTTCTGGCACACTCTCCCCAGTCCCGGCCCTCCTGTGGCACCAAGCAACCTCACCACCAAGGCCCCTCTCCCCAGCCCATCCTGGGCTGCCTGGTGGGCTGCTCCTGCTCTCAGCTGCCCTGTTGGGCTGCTCCTGCCTGGCGCGGGGCCAGTCACCCAGATCTATGGCCTCCGGAGTGCCTCCCCCCTGCTGCTGGCCTGCCAGGGTCCATTCACCAGTGGTGGCCAGTGGAGCCATGCCGTTGATTGATTGATTGATTGGTTCGATTTATATGCCGCCCTTCTCCGGAGACTCAGGGCGGCTTACAATGCATTAAGCAATAGCCTTCATACTTTTGTATATACGTGCTTAGTAGGGCTTTAGACCCCCCCTACGTGGTATTCTTTTTTATACAAAGTCAGTTTATTGCCCCCACAATCCGGGTCCTCATTTTACCTACCTCGAAAGGATGGAAGGCTGAGTCAACCTTGAGCCTGGTGAGATTTGAACTTGCAGTAATTGCAGGCAGTGGTGCTACTTAACAGCATGCCGCTTCGCCCACCATCACCTTCGGGCTGCGCCCTTCCGCTGCCCTGCATTGATTCGGTGGGTGTCTGGCAGATGGAGGGAGGCAATTCCACACACACACACCAGCCTGGCCTCATCTTGTGGTGGCACTGCCCCACCAGCCAGGCTGGGCTGGGTGAAAGACAAGGCAGTGGCAACAGAGCAGCTGCAGGTGAGGTACAGGCTGAAGGGAGCCATGGGCAACCCTATGCACAACCAGCACAAGAGCATGGCTGTGGGCTGGACAGAGACAGCCAAAGGGCTAGATAGTACCTATTTCTGGTGTAGATGAATATAGGAGCCTTTAAGGCAGGAGAAACATGAATTTAGCCTTGGAAGAGAAAAAGACATAAGACTCAAAAGGACCCCACCTTGATTCTGTTGGGTATAAAAGGGGACAAAGAGAAACATATTCAGGCTTTAAAGATTCATTAACATGATCAAATGAACCACCATAGTCATTAAGAGAATCACATGGTGGTTAAGTTTATGTGGGCTCCCTCCCCATGAATTTTGTTGGAAGCTCTCTGGGAATGCTGCAAATCATGATCATGTGATCACAGGACACTAACTGCTGTAAATTTGAGCCAGTTGCCAAGCACCCAAATTGCAATCATGTGGGAGTGGTGTGACAGTCGTAACCTCCAGGATGGTCTGTAAGTCACTTTTTAGCACTATCATAACTCTATTTCTCTCCCTCCCTCCCTCCCTCTCTCCCTCCTTTCCTCCTCTCTCTCTCCCTCCCTCCCTCTCTCTCTCTCATTTATGTATGTATGTGCATCTGATGTGGAATTCATTACTGTCCCTAATAGAAAGCGTGAAAGAAATGGTACAGAAACAACTTCTCCAAGCTTGGTTACATCTAGTTGAAGGAAATGTCTTAGAATTGCTCCATCATCTGGATGTGGAGAGTTGCCCTGAAGTGGGTGTTCTAGCCCTTAATGCTATGTTCCGGCTGTCTCCCCACCAGGATCTGATTAAAAATTTTTCCGAACTTGATGACAGGTAGGGATAATACAGCTGTGGCTGTCTTTTTACCTGGGTCAGAGTAATATATACTCTCTAGTAGGAACATAAGGTAGTCTTCTACTCTAAAATTGTATCCCATGATGCTTCAGTTGGATTTAGTAGCTGTTTGTTTTTAATGCACCCATAATTTCCTGCCCATATTTTTCATGAAATTTGTGCAACCATGTGTTTTGAGCATTCCGATGCCAAAGTTTCTGAACCTTAGCAACTGTAATATGTGTAGATTTCAACTCCCAGAATTCCCAGCCAGCAATGCTGATATTTGTCTTTTAAAAATGTATACAAAATTAATTCTCCCAACATGTTACCAAAATACTATTAGGTCTTCTTGTAGTGGTAGGTTCAGAACGCCCTCGAATAGTCAACCATAACTTAAGGTTTAAACATGTTGCATGAATCAACCAATTGTGATATGTTTATTTTTTAAAAAAGGTTAAGCTCATGAAACATGCGTATAAAGGAAATGGACTGGGAAATGAGTTATAATTGGAGAATATGTTTCTAAATCTATACAGTGTCATATTTTACTTTTATTTGTTTTTATTAGTTCTTAGTTCAGCTCTTGTAGTGGGACTAAGTTTGTTTATTTATATAGCAATCAAACATAGGTTTATAGGCTCATTTTGTTGATTTTTTAATTTTGCTATATTATAGATTATAAACCACCAAATCTTGCTAGATTATAATGGATATAAAAGAAACACAAAAATAAATAAACAGGCAAATATTAGAGAACAAAAACTTTTCTTTAATTTTTCATCAACAGTATACTCACATGACATTATTTCTTAAAGATAAATATCAAAACGTAGTATGTTTCAGAAACTTATTTTAATGTAAATGTTTGGTTTTCATAGGTATATTAGCTTGCGGTAATTGCTTTCTGAAATTTCCTGGTTTATATAATTAACACAAGAAAAGAATTGGGGTTTTCTTTTTATGGAAACTTGATAGCGCTCAATGTGCTTCATTTGAAGGAAAACCATTCCAATAGAAAAACTGACTGCAGAGAGTGCCTTATATTGGAAAGCTCTTTGTGAGCACTTGAAATCCAAAGGAGAAGAATTCTTAGAAGAATTCTTGCCAGAGCCTGCTATCTATGCGGATTATCTGTTGAGGTAAATTAACATAATTAATTCAAAAATTGCAATGTCAGTTCAATATGCTTTAATCTTACAGTTATCATTCTTACTAGTATTGGTGTTAAGGTTCTCTGATGACAATTTAGAATAAGCATTTTGGAATAACTGATTTTTAGAAGATATGTTAATAATGAAGGTATCTGATGGGCAGGAGATGCTGCAGAAATAATAAGGGAATTAAAGCAGATTGGTTGAGTTGTGTAATCAAATTCACAGTACCATGCTGTGTAAAGGAGAAATTTTTTCAGATGTCTTGCGATTTTGCGTTGTCCATCTAAAAATTTCTAAATATTCAGCCATTGACAAAATTCAGGAGAAAATCCAACACCACATTGCTGTCTGTGGGAAGTGTGTTGAGCTGTAGTTTGAAAGGGCTGTGAATTAATACAACAGTCTGGGATTGGCAAATAGATAAATCTTAATCCCTTTTGACCAGTGGTGAAATCTAAAATTTGTTATTACTGGTTCTCTTGGTGGTGGTGGGGTAATGTGACTGGGTGGGCGTGGCCAATTTTTTTTTTTCTTTTAAAACCATTTTTTCTGCAATCTCTTCGGCCAAAGAGGTTGTAGGAAAAAAAATGCCTTTAAAAGCCTCTGACGATCCCTTTGATGATCCCAGCTGAGCTGCGCAATCATCAGAGGCTGCTTTTTTTTACTTTTAAAAGCATTTTTTCGGCCGAAGAGGTTGTAGAAAAAATGCTTTTAAAAATTAAAAGAAAAAGCCTCTGATGATTGTGCGGCTCAGCTGGGCATTGGGGGTGGGGGGGGCAGGGATTTTTGCTACCAGTTCTCCTAACCACCCACCTCCATCGCTACCGGATCAGGCAATCCGGTCCGAACCGGGAGCATTTCACCCCTGCTTTTGACAGAATAATCATTTTCTTATCCTTAAGCTACTTTCAAAGTATTCCAGTACTCAATCAGGAAGAAAAGGAAGATCTGGCCTGCATTGAGCAATTGATGACCAAGGAATTTATAGGTCAGCAGTTAATTCTAATAATCGGTTGCATGGATATCACCGAAGAAGGAGGCAGGTAAGACTGTAAAAAAACAACAACCCATGCAATTGTTTTATGCAATTGTGAGGGATAATTTTTTTTTACAAGATATATTTTAAAATGCGTATAGAAAGGAACAGGTTGACTTGGAGGGATATAATCTGATGATATCCATTTGAGCAAACCAAGTTAACATATTAACATGAATTCAAGTGGTTTGTAAATTTTCCACTCATAGTTGTTTTGAGCCAAAGGGGTAGAGTACTTCTTGCAATCACATGATATAAATGTTTTATAGTAAAAAATAAAGTAATGGTTGCATTAATTTTAAAAATGGGGGAGAATCTGGGAGGCAGCAGGAATGAGTAGCATCTGGTCTGAGATGTCTATAGGTCAGTGGTGGGTTGCTCCCGTTTCGCACCAGATTGGGCGAACCGGTAGCGGCTGTGGCGGGTGGCTCCGCACACCCGCCCAGACGCTTCTGTGCATGCGCAGAAGCACATGCACATGCACAAGCAAACCAGTAGCGATGGGATTTGGAATCCGCCCCTGCTATAGGTGGTCTAAAAACAGGTCTTCAGAACCTCAGTTGCATACCTCATCCACAGTGAAGAGGGTGATGTTGCTTTTTCCATGTAGAGAAAACATGCCTTAGGTCATCAACAATACAATCTCCCAATACTTCTCTGCTTGTGTTCCTTGTCAGGACCCAGGGGTTCATATAATGACATTAACAATTCATGCTTGACATTTTTTTTCATTGGGATTTATATTTTTGAGGCCCATTCCCTAGTGTTATCCAGTCCTTTGGAAGGACAACAGGGAAAATTGCTGTTCAATTTAGATCCTCTTCTCAGAGAATCATCAGATGTTGAGGGAAAGGATCACCCAGAAAAAATGGATTCAAAAATATAAATGGAGCAGAGAGTAGGCGAACATCAAGAGAAATAGTTGAGATTTAAGAATAACCAGTTGACCATCTAGTCTGGGCATTTGTAGTCCAGCCGCAGAATATTTTGACTCTAAAATGTTTCCCTTTTCCCAGAATTTCAGGGAGTGAGAGCTGGAGTGTATAGTAGAAGCAGATAGCACTGTAGCCAGATACTGTAAGCTTTCTTCTCTGTTTCAGTCTGAGCTTGTCTCTTAAGTCTTGCAGGGGAAGGGTTTTTCCATGTTTTACAATATTCCTAAGCAGAGAAGAAACCACAATTGTAACATTTGGGATTTGAAAGTTTGTTCATTAGCAGGAAATAGTGATGTATATATCTATATATCAGGAATACACGCACCAACCCACCCCCAATAATGATTCCTTGGATTTTAAACTCAAAAAAAGTATATATTTTTTAAAGGAAGAAAATGCTGAGTGTCCTACAAAAAATTCTTTTGATTCCAACCACGTCAGCATCTCTTGTATCCCATCTTATGGAAAAGTTGCTCTGCCTTTTGAAGGATGATGAGCGAAGAATCCAGATGGTATGTTCTTGTGGTATATATGCAACCATACAAAAGTTCTTTCGTATGGTATTCAACTTTGAAAGTTTAATCCTTTAAGGAAGTCTTCAGAGCAATTGTGTTAACCAAAGTACCTGTTTTGAATCCATTTCTCCTTTGTAAATAGTTTGCTTTCTTTGGATGTTAAAAAAAGTCAGTTGAATAGAATTGTCCCTGACAAGTTTTGAATGTAAATATTCATACATTTAGAAAAATTACAGAATACAGAATAACAGAGTTGGAAGGGACCTTGGATGTCTTCTAGACCAGCAGTCACCAACTGGTGGTCCGTGGACCACTGGTGATCCGTGAGAAAATTTTGGTATTCCGCAGAAAAATTATTTGCATTTTTTTATATTGTACTAAATCAGAGGTCCTCAAACTACGGCCCCTGGGACAGATATGTGCAATGAACGTTTGTGTTGCTGCAGAGAGCCTCCCCCTTTGGGGTCTTCTTGTGTGAGTTGGAGGGGGGCAGAAATTCCGACTTGGGGTCTGCTTCAGCCTCCTGATGAGGGTCTTTGGGTGAAGGCTGAAGGGAAGTGCTGCTGATGGCAAAGAACGGAGGGCCTTGTTCCAGTGGGACTGCATCATGGTCTGGAACTGGCTGACCATCTCAGCCTGCTGAGCCTCCAGGTGCTCAGCCTTGCATTCCTGCAGGTCTTCCCTCTGCTTGGAAAGGCTATGCTCCTAATCCTCAGTGAGGTGCTTCTGCTGAGCCTCCTTCTTGGTCAGATTCACTTTGAACTGAGCCAGCTGTTTTGCCAACTCTTTCCCGTGGTGGCTGCTTAGCTCCAAGAACTGTTTCCTGTTGGGGCCCTAAGGAGCCCGGGTAGGCAGGCAAGGCATGGCTTGGAGGGAAGGGGCGAGTAGAGGCTGGCGAGGCGCCCCTTGACGTGAGTGACATCAAGTTGGCCACACCCATCCCGTCACATGACTACCTAGCACACCCACTCAGCCAGTCATTAGGCCGATCATATTAGTGGTCCGCGGGATTTAAAATTATGAATTTAGTGGTCCCTGAGGTCTGAAAGGTTGAGGACCCCTGTTCTAGACCAACCCCTTGTTCAAGCAGGTGACTCTATACCCTGGGCCATGGATTGGCACTGGTCCACGGCTTGCTAGGAATTAGGCTGTGCAAGTAAGCAAAGTCCCATCTGTGCATGCATGGGACCTAGTCAACATATGAAACCCCCACCTCCACCCTAGTCCACAGAAAAACCGCCCTCCACAGAACCAGACCCTAGCACCCAAAAGGTTTGGAGCCGCTAGACAAGTGGTTGTCTAATTTTTTGAAAACCTCCAACAATTGCTTAACAGATTGTAAGCCGCCCTGAGTCTCCGGAGAAGGGCGGCATATAAATCAAATTAAAAAAAAAATGGAGCACCCATGACTTCCGGTGACAAGCTGTTCCATTGATTTATTGTTCTCACTGTCAGGAAATTTGTCTTTATTTCTATTTTGGTTCTCTCTTTGATTAGTTTCCATCCATTGCTTCTTGTTCTGCCTTTAGTTGCTTTGAAGAATAGGTTGATCCCTTCTTTTCTGTGACAACCCCTCAGATATTGGAAAATTGCTATCATGTCACCCCTTTTGAAAAGCTTGGCTAGTTTGCAAGTATGAGTGATCAACTAGATTTTTCTACACATAATCTCACCATATCATATTTGTTTGCCCCCTCAACAGATGAGAGACACTACTAGTTTTCCTCCCAGTACTAAAGGTTTATATTCCTGATTTGGAAATCAAACTAGATAGGCTCAAGACCACCATGCTTGTTCTTCCTCATTGAAAAGTCAACATGGGAGAGAATTTGGGGCACAGAGGTCCAACATGGTTTTAGGATGCTCAAAATAAGTTTTACTAAACTTTTACTGATCCTTCTAAGGATCAAGGAATGCTATTTTCCTCAAAAGCACCAGCAATGAGAAGGCTTCACATGAACTTTTGTGGCTGTGTAAAGATTAGGGAGATTTCTTTTAATTATATAAATTTCTCCCAAAGGACCTCCAGAAATGAGTATTGTTTGTTTAGCTTTATGACAGGAATAAAATAAGTTTGCCAGACTTGTTTCAATTTCAGGTTGGTGCTTATTTACATTTTCAGGTTGCTGAAATAATTTCAGAGGCACGGGAAACCGTTATGACAGTAGACAAGCAGCAAGATGCAAGTGAGATAAGAAAACAAGAGCTTAAGGTATGGAGGGATTGTGCCACTTCTTTAGTAATTTAATTTTTTTTAAAAAATGAAAGGATTTATAACTGAATTATTGCATTTTTTCCTGCAGCTTCTGAAAAATCTGAATGTTATTTCTCAGAAATGCAGAGAATTAAATTAATAGGATTGGAGAGGGCAAATTTTCAAATTCATTTTTATAAATCTTGATAAAGATGGCAGTTGATTTTGATTTCCTCTGGTGTATGTAAGTACAAGTTGAAATAGAAGAAAATAAAATAGAAAGATGGAGAGGGTGTTCAGGAGGCCTCCTTCGTTGAGGACACCTTCTAGCACATTGGGTTGATCTCCCAGCTGCAAGGAGAGCCTTGGCTATTGTTGTGTACATCCTGTTAACCTCAGTGTTAGTTTGAGTTCCCTTCACCAAGCCACCCTTGCACTCGCTTTGAAAAAGGCAGTTGATCCAGATCATGGTGACCAAGTTGTAGGGTGGGTCACCTGGCCATGGACATGTTCCCTCCATTGAATCAATATTTGGCTGCTCATTAGCTGAGCCAAATTGAGATTTGCTTTTGCACAGGGAGTGCTCTAAAACTATATTAAATAAGATGTTACATTAGTTTTCTTAGTCTTTTCAAAATGGTAAGCTCAACTGTTGTATTGTCCACTGAAATGGTTACTCTCAGTGGTTTTTTTTTTTTATTATTATTTTTATTACTTGAAGACTTCTTCATCCAGGTCTTTGCTGAGAAACCGGTGAACAGTTTTTGTATCTACTTTAGTTTCTTTTCCTCCCTTTTTTATATTGTTTTAAAACACCTTTATTATATACTTTACTGTGTTTTATTTTATTTTTATGCTACTTTATATATGCTATTGTATACTACTTTATATCTTACAAAGTATTTCAAAGGACTATTTTCACTGAGAGAAGCACGAAGTCATATGAAATGATGGTATTTTTAATATTCATGTTGCATAGATTTCATACCAGTAGAGGTTCCTGATTCAGATTCTGATGAGGTAACAGTATTTATCCAATCTTAGTTGATTTCAGGAGCTGAGAAGCATCTAGTTCTTTTGATATGAGCATGGGAGACCAGAAAATTCCAAGCTTATGGACTAGATTGGAAAGACAAAAAATACTTTTTGCAAGTAGGCAGTGATAGAATTTATTTATTTATTTTTCAATTTATATACCGCCCTTCTCCCTAAGGACTCAGGGCGGTGCACAACCAGAATTAAGAACATGAACTACAAATATTAAGAACAATTAAAATATATATAAATTTGGCCCAAAAATTTAAAAATCACAAACCAATTAAAACATTTTAAAAATTTAAAAATTTCTTCTTAAGCCAGCCCGGCTTGCTGGAAAAAGTGGGTTTTAAGGGCACGGCGAAAGGCACTGAGGTCTTGGATTCTCCTTATCTCTGGGGGCAACTGATTCCAGAGGGTAGGTGCCCCCACAGAGAAGGCTCTCCCCCTGGGGGTCACCAGCCTACATTGTTTGGCTGATGGCACCCTGAGGAAGCCCTCTCTGTGGGAACGCACGGGTCGATGGGAGGTCATTGGTAGCAGCAGACGGTCTCGAAGATAGCTAGGCCCTATGCCATGGAGCACTTTAAAAGTGATAACCAACACCAATTCATTGCCACTGTCAAGAAAATGGGATGCATGCAGGAATCAGCAGTCAGGGTGATTGAGATGTCTGCTTTTTGTAAAAGCCATAATATAATACCCAGTATCTCCAGGGCATAATTTCTGTTTTCTTTCCAGCTGGCAGAAATAAAAGTGAAACTCATGGAAGCAAAGGATATTCTGGAGAAGTGCATAGCCATGCAAGACTTCAGCCATGCTTCTGTGTTAAAGGAGAAGATTATAGAGCTGGAAGGTATAAAGAGTGGCTTGTTGAAAGAGGCGGAAGAATCCGAAACTAAAGAGATATGCATGGAAAAGGTTCTGTATTTTACACTTCTAGTCTTTTCAGTGTTTTCACATTTACATGTTAAGAACTGTGTATGTGATGAAATGTCTTTTTTCAAACTGTTTGAAATGGCTTTTTAGAAGAGGAAGAGAATATTTGTAGTTTGGACTTGAACTGTGAAGTCCTTGATGTGGAGTACTTCAGCACTGAAGATATTACTTAGGTAATGAAATGTCTTGAAGAAAACAATCAAGCTCAGAAAACAGCAAGGATTCCACAGGAAGAGAAACCTGAAAATCCTACTATGACCTCTGATGCTAATGGTCCCTATTAAAAAAGAAATGACCCAGCATATTTCTGTATCTACCTATGTACAATACCTAGTTTTCTACACATGGGTTATTTCTCATGTACAAGGGCTAGGAAAAAAATCCAAACTCTGTATCATTGCAGAACAAAACTAGATGTGAAATATGGGAATTAGAGTAATTGTTGCTGGAAGGAGGCTCTTGCTTTGGAATAATCTGCAACTAGAAAGGATCTTAAGCTAGCCCATAGATTGAGCAGACCATTTTCTTCAGTTGGAGTCAATGATAAATATAGGGTCAAATTTTGCTTGATTTCCTGTAGAAACAAATTGTTAATTCTGTTGAATGTTGCTCACTTTTGTTCTTGGTTACTAGAAAGCATCATAGATATTTGGACAGACTGAAATCCTGAACTAAACTATGATGCTTTTATTTTAAAAGAGTGATCCAGAAACACTTCTGAAGTGTTTGATGATGTGCAACCAACTTCTGAAGCAGATCTCACTTTCCAAAGGGTTAGGACCTACACTGGATGGAATAATTGAATCCCTGGTATGTGGCAACCTTATGATATATATCACAATATAGAAGATCTGTGTTGAGCAGGAACAGGTATATGTGGTCTCGAATACTTTTTTCTATCTCAGGTAGCTATTCTTGTTCTGCATTTTATTGTGCATGTATATCCACAAGAGACAGCTAAGGACCAAAAATGAATTAGCTTGAACTGGATAGAATTTCACCTTGCAGGCACTTCACACATCTTTTCTACTTCAGCCCTCCATTGGATTACACATGGAATCAGTTTTAGTTTCTGAGCAGTTCCAGGTTTTATATCAGTTAGAGATTCACTATTTTTCCATTTATGAAGTTAGATTGTGTCCTTTTCTTATATAGTTCTTTCAAACAAATCTGAGCAAACCATCTGTCTACTTGACCACCAGTGTGAGCGTTTGTTAAAATCAGTTCATGCTTTTTTGTTTGCAAAAGCATCCTCAAGAGGAGGTTAAAGAAGTTTGCCCCTCCATCCTGGCTTTTTAAACATCCCCTGTGGTTATCCTGATCTCTTCAGTTACCAATATATCTTAGCTAGCAAGCAGCTCAAGGTTCTCTTTAATCAATATGTCTTACTATGTTTGTTCTTCTAGATAATCCCAGGAATTACTAATATCCATCCTGCTGTGCGAAACATGGCGGTGCTGTGCTTGGGCTGCTGTGGCCTGCAGAGCAAAGAGTTTGCAAGTCAGCGCCTCACTTTGCTGTTGCAAGTAAGTAGGTTTCAGTTCTCATGAAATGTCTGATAGACATTGGGAACCCTGAGGAAAAAGAGTTCCTGTTGCCACAGGTATTCTTGAGTCCAAAAGAGTAGTAAAATGTGTGAAGGGGGCCCAGAGAAACTCCACTTTGCTTTCAGTAGGCATACATTGATTTGGTTGGCTTTCAAGTTCAGTGTCAGGTCCTGCAATGCTGGCGAACTAAGCAAAACATTAGTACCTTGGAAAGATCTTTGTTGCTAGGAGAGTCTGATGTACCAGACTCTTTAAAACCTATCAAGTAACACTCCAAATAACCTATTGTAATTAAAGGGAAGTTACTTAGAGTCTCTTTCTCACACTTCTTCCCTCCTGGGATTGAGAGATCTGTCTCGTAAATAGATGGGAGCCACTACGTTGGCATCCTGGAATTTTAAAGAACGACCAGTGTTGCTTTATACAGAGGCAAGTGGATGGGTGGGCTGCAGAGGAATAGTCAGCTTGTAGAAAACATTTGCCATTTACAATTGGCCACAAGTTCTATGTAATGATCTTGCTGGGAATTATAACTGGGAAGTGGAACTTCTAACTAAAAAGAAGGCAAACCTGGACCACCAAAATGCTGCAAACAGCTGTGGTCTTCATTTCCTACCTTCTCACTTTCACATTCTGTTTAAAATAAATCCTATGCAGGAAAACTCATACTTTTCAATTGTAGCATCAGCATCTATTCAAGTCCTGATGTTCTGAATGTTGGAATTGAAACATTGGAAACATTTCTTTCAATTGCCCTACATCAGGGGTCTCCAAATTTGGCAACTTTAAGACTTGTGGACTTCAACTCCCAGAATTGAATTTTGGGAGCTGAAGTCCACAAGTCTTAAAAGTTGTCAAGTTTGGAGATACCTGTCCTATATCCATGGTAGAACATATTCTGGAGGGTGTAATACAGGGTAGAGTAGTTTCCTAGGGTTGGGGCTGTGACTTGTTCCCTCAACCCAGGGGTGGGCAAATGTGGCTCTTTTACAACCTGTGGTCTTCAACTCCCAGAATTCCTGAGCCAGCTTGGCTGTGTCAGGTTGAAGCCCACAGGTTGTAAAAGAGCCACATTTGCCCACCCCTGCCTCAACCAGTTTGAGGCTGCAGAGGCATTAGCAAAAGGGGTTGATTGGGAAACAACGGAAAAAGATTGGGGGGGGGGGACGCTAAGGATGGGAATAGAAGAAAAAAGATAAAACTCCAATTTCTATTCTGAAATAACTTTCCAGATAGCCAAACTGCTGGCAACATTTCTTGGCAGTATGACCAAATGCTGACTGCCCAGTTCTAGGCTACTTTGAGGGTCTGTGGTTGGAGTATTGAGACACATGGAAGCTCCTTGTGTATTGGAAGTCCCCTGCTTCAGTTTCTATCTTCAATTTTTACATTTCACTAGAAATTGGCTATTTTGCTTCTGTCTTGATTGCATGCTTGAAGGAACATGCAGGTTTTGAAAAGGCCATTCGTCAACTTCAGATTTATAGCCTAATTTGGAACTGCTTTAAAGAGTCTGAGAAGCGGGTCAAAGTGGCTTTTTTTATGCTCAACCAATGAATTATAGTTTAAATTATATGAATTCATAGGTCCTGTTTGGTCTTTCTAATCCTATTCAGGTATTGCAAATTGATGAAATGAAGGTAAAATTGAGTGCTTTAAAGGCACTGTTTGACCAGGTAATGATATTTGGAATAGAACCATTCAAAGACAGAAAAGTTCAAACTGGAAATGAAGAAAATGAGAGTGAGAAAACTAAGGAAACAGAAGAAGAAACAGCTACCACTCACAACCTTCTTCAGCTTCTTTCTGGGTTTCTAGATAGTGAGGTATGATTGAAACTAGCAAATATGGATGTAAATTTTAATTTCATGTGTGGAAGAATATAAAGAGAAAATTTGAGCAAAATATTTCCCTGACTGGTACTAGCAACATAAAAAATGCATGAAAAAACTAAGAATGCTAACAATGTCAGTTATACATCACTCATCTGATGAGAGACATGTTGAAATAATCATGAGAGCTTTTTTAATTGCTTCAGCTTAACAACTTCTAGTGACTGTTCAGAGGTATAACTGCACTGAAAAAAGTGACTTATGACTGATTTTCATACTTAAATTGCAACATCCCCATGGTCACATGATCAGAATTCGAGCACTTGGCAATTGGCATGTATTTATGACCATTGCAATGTCCTGGGGGCATGTGATTGCCATTTGTGACCTTCCCATCCAGCTTCCAACAAGCATTGTCAATGGGGAAAGCCAGATTTGCCTAATGACCACATGATTCACTTAACAACTGCAGTGATTTGCTTAATAACTGTGGCAAAAAAGGGTTGTAAAATGGAGCAAAACTCACTTAACAATTGCCTTGCTTAGCAATGGAAATTTTGGGCTCAGTTGTGATTGTAAATTGAGGACTATCTTTAAATGCAGTCTTGCAGAATGAAACTTAGGGTAGGTGTTGCAGCTCCAATTTCCTGTGGAATAATTACTGGAATACACTTGTGTAAATCTCTTCTCCAGTTTTCAGAACTTAGAACTGAGGCTGCTGAGGGACTGGTGAAGCTCATATTTTCTGGCCGGCTAATCAGTGCTAAGCTTCTTTCTCGACTGGTTTTGTTGTGGTATAATCCAATGACAGAAGAGGATACACGTCTCCGACATGCCTTGGGAGTTTTTTTCCCTTTATTTGCATATTCAAATAGGTATAGTCTGTGTATTTGTATATATCTGTGTGTAGTTTCTTTTTCTATACAGGTAGTCCTCCACTTACAACAGTTCATTTAGTGACTGTTCGAAGTTACCACGGCACTAAAAAAAAATAACATGACAATTTTTCACACTTATGACCATTGCAGCATCCCCATAGTCATGTGATCAAAATTCAGACACTTGGTAACTGACTCATATTTATGACAGTTGCAGTGTCCTGGGGTCATGTGATCACCTTTTGCCATCTGACAAGCAAAGTCAATGGGAAAGCCAGATTCACTTAACAATTGTGTTACTAACAACAACTGCAGTGATCTACTTAACTGTGGCAAGAAAGGTCGTAAAAGGAGCCTTGGTGGTGCAGCGGACTAAAGTGCTGTTAAGTAACACTTAATTGCCAGCTGCCTGCAATTACTGAGAGTTCAAATCTCACCAGGCTCAAGGTTGACGCAGCCTTCCATCCTTCCGAGGTAGGTAAAATGAGGACCCGGATTGTGGGGGCAATAAGCTGACTTTGTATAAAAAAGAACACCGCTTGGGGGGGGGCCAAAAGCCCTACTAAGCAGGTATATACAAAAGTACGACGGCTATTGCTTAACGCATTCTAAGCCGCCCTGAGTCTCCGGAGAAGGGCGGCATATAAATCGAACCAATAAATAAAATGGGCAAAATTCATTTAACTTGTCTGGCTTAGCAGCAAAAGTTTTGGGTTCAGTTGTGGTTGTAAGCAGAGATGGTATTCAGCAGGTTCTGATCAGTTCTGTAGCAGAAATTTTGAGTAGTTCGGAGAACCAGTAAATACCACCTCTGACTGGCCCCGCCCCCATCTATTCTCTGCCTCCTGAGTCCCAACTGATCGGGAGGAAACGGGGATTTTGCAGTAACCTTCCCCTGGAGTGGGGAGTAAATGGAGATTTTACAGTATCCTTCCCCTTCCACGCCCACCAAGCCATGCCACGGCCACAGAACCGGTAGTAAAAAATTTTAAATCCCACCATTGGTTGTAAGGTGAGGACTACCTGTATTTTAAATAGCTCAAAGTGAATTTAATTGAAAAAAAATACAATGAGGTTTTTTAATTTGAATAATAACAACTGCTTAACCATGTGATTTGCTATATGTTTTCTTAAAAACAATCTGTTGAATTTTTTACTGGGTATACATCAATCTTATCGTCCAGATACTTCTAAATATTTTTTTACATGAGCAGCTTACTGTGGTTTAGTTTGTAAGGCTGTTGGGTATCTGTATACCATATGCTATATAAAAGCAGAAGGACCCACAGTAAGATTTATATTAATTACTGTTTTTAGAATATTAGACTATCTTTTTGCTGTTTGCTGTCATTTGCATCTGATGCCACTTTCACAAGAGACCTTATTCTTTCATCTGGACATAGAATTGGTTTCTCTTATGTTAATTGGAAAATTGATGCAGTTGGGTGCATTTGATGTTGTGTTGTGTTGTGTTAAAGCCTCACCTGTTACATTTTAAAAATGCAGAACCAATCAGGAATGCTTTGAAGAAACTTTTCTTCCAACGTTGCAAATATTATTTAATGCTCCAGCTTCATCACCATTGTCAGAGGTTGATGTAGCTAACGTTGCTGAACTTCTGGTGGATCTAACAAGGCCTAGTGGATTGAATCAACACTTTCAGAACTGTCAGGTAGGGTAAATCGTATGTGAGGAGGCTGTTTTGTTTGATCTGAGATTAGAAAGCCCTCAAAATCTGGGTTAAAGCCTCCTACTCCTTGCAGTAATGCTTTTGTTGAAATTGTGGACAATTTATACTTGGACAATTACCATATTGTAATGGCTTTTTCAGGGTTTGACAGTTCATGATAATTTAGCGCTGAAAATATGCAATGAAATTTTGACGGATCCAAGTGCGCCAGATGTCCGGATATATGCAAAAGCTCTCTGTTCCTTAGAATTCAGTAAGGATTTCACAAAAGACCTCATGGATTTATTTGAGGATATTCTTGTGGTAAGCCATAGCCTAATGATCCACAAACACAGATTTAGTGGGTTTCTTGTAAAATTTCTGAGACATGTCTTAGAGTGAGTGTGTGAGAAGAAACAATATTTGCCCTCTAAAATTTAATGTCTCCATTCTCCAAAAACTTGAGTTTGCAAAAACTAAGAATTAAAAATTATCCTTCTTTGGCCACCAGGTTTTCTTATCTTCTAACTTTTTCTGAGGAAAAACCCTGAAGCCAAAGTTTATCAAACATTCTGGTGCCATGATCCTGTAAAATAATAAATTTGTTTGAAGTTCATTTATCAATATGCTAGACGTCACACTGGAAGTCACCAGCACACCCTGGGAAATTTAAAATTATCTCTCCCTCCCCTTAAAAATATGTTGATTTTTTAAAAAATCCAAAACAAATATCTTGTTCTCATTCCACATTTTATCAGCCTAGATTGCCAGTTTCCCAAAACTCTGCGGGTGTCACACTTAGAGAATCCATAGCACACTCTAGAAAAAAAATGAAAGTTCTCCCTGCCCTCAGAAACTTGAATAAGTGACAAAATGGAAAGTTTCACAAACTGGAAGGAAGTCAGCTTCGTGGTTCATGAAACAAGAGCAGGGAGGAAGCAAGTAGTCAGCAGGAAATGTACATAAGTGTTTCCTCAGATACAAAAATGCACAATACTTTTATCCAGAGCAAGCTGGGAGATACAGATATAATGCTAGCAGCCACAGAAATAAGAGGAAGACAAGTATAAAGTCAAATAATATATCAATGTGAATAAATGATAAAATGGGAATGATAGGGGAAGAAAAAGTGCAGATTAATTTAGTCATTTTCTATAGGATGCATCCTCAATCTTTATGCAGCCTTAGGTAGACATTACCCTCCCCTCTTCCATGGTTCTAAATGAAGAAATAGGGGCACTCACTCCAGTGTCAGATCTCAGATTCTTTTGGCCTGATTCTTAAGAGCTGGGTGTTTTGCAGCAGGGTCTACCTTGACTCTTTTTGAGCCCTTCCCCAATCCGTATGGACCCTGGTGTAGTCTTGTTAGCCTTCTATGTTGTTATCTTCTCATCCTCTTCCTCATCCTACTATCTCTTGGGGAATTTGTCAGAATGAGCGGAGGAGAACTTGAGTGAGCCTAAGTGCCAGGCACTCTGTTGAAAACTTCTCCGGTGCCTATCCTTTGGAGGCAATGGGGAGTCCTTGGACTTAATAGTGTTGAGATCCCTGTCAAACTTTTGTGGGGCAAAGTTGAGAAAGAAACAGAAGTCATAGTTGCTGGATTCTTGACTCCATCTCTATGGGCCGAAGGGGTTGCTGTTGGCCAAGAGCCGCTTCAACCCATTCCATTCAAATTTGCTTGCAACACACCCCCCCCCCTCCACAGTTCCTACTCTCAGTTTGAGAAGGCCATAAATCAGGGAATCACATGAAAAAGCTAAAAATCTTCAATGGGGAATCATATTTATTTCTTAACAGCCTCTGAGTGTATTTCACAGATTCAGTTTCCAAATATTAATAAAATTACCCCATGTTATTTGCAGTAATATACTATTCATAGAGAGAGATTATTTGCGTTTCTATTTGTTAATGAACTTCTTAGCCCAACATTCAATTCCAACACCAACACATGTATAGGATCAACAAATGCTCATTATGTATACTTCTAAATAAGCTGTTCTTGACTTCTCTATTACAGACAGTAAAAGATAAAATGTCTTTAAAAATGGTTGAAAAGGTGAAGAACAACTTAAACAAAGGAAACCCTGTTGATGGACATGTTTCAAAAGAAAAGGACACTGCAGAAGTAACTGAAAACAATTTGGACTGCAATAAATCATGTATGTCCACTGATCAAAATAAGGAAGGTAACACAAAGAACATACTGTACTATATTTTTTGAATTCTTTAGAGGATAATCTCTAGATAGGGTGGGAAATGGGGTATGGGAGAATTGTGTGCTATGGTTGTATTACAGGGGTGGAGGAATTGCTCAGTTTTTACATAATACCCTAATCATGTGAATTCATGGATGACTTTTATGTTGGCATTAATATGTTGCCCTGAATATTGGAACTGGAAGCCCTGGTCCAGGTATGTTTCACTTCTGTCCCTTCTTTAGTGGTTGTCCTGAAGCCCTGCCTTCCAGGATTGCTGAACACAGCACTGTTTATGCTCCTTTTAAGTGTGTGTGGGGAGGGGGGGGGAGGAAAAATGAGTCTGTCAGATCCCTATCGTGATACTGCCATTCAAGTAGGGAGGGAACCCTGGATTCTTTTACTCACTTATTCCTGTAATTCCCTAGTTTATAACTTTTACCCTGTCACATATTCTGCCCTGTGCTTTGATTTACCTTGGGGGATGTACAAGGGCGGAGGACCATCTGTTTTCTCTCAATTTAGAAGCCTCAAGAAGAAACGCATGGGAATCCACAATATCTTTGCACCTGTGGATTAGCTCATTCAACATCAAACTGAGAGGAGGGGTTTCTAATCACTTTATCCTAACAGAATTGCCTGGGGGGAACTCAGACCCTGCTTTGCATTGTCTTGCATTCATTTCCTTTTACAAAAAGTTTCTTTTGAAATGCTAGTTTTCAGAGTCCATGCTTTCTTGAACAGGAGGGAGAGGCAGGACCTTACAGAGTCATTGACTCATATGTTGCTTGGGAAATAGGTTGTTTAGATAGAATAGAATAGAATAGAATAGAATAGAATAGAATAGAATAGAATAGAATAGAATAGAATAGAATAGAATAGAATAGAATAGAATTTTTTATTGGCCAAATGTGATTGGACACATACGGAATTTGTCTTGGTGCATATGCTCTCAGTCTACATAAAGGAAAAGATACGTTCATCAAGAATCATGGTACAACACTTAATGATAGTCATAGGGTACAAATTAACAATTGGGAAACAATATCAATATAAATTGTAAGGATACAAGCAACAAAATTACAGTCATACAGTCATAAATGGAAGGAGATGGGTGGTGGGAACGATGAGAAGATTAATAGTAGTGCAGACTTAGTAAATAGTTTGACAGTGTTGAGGGAATTATTTGTTTAGCAGAGTGATGGCATTTGGGAAAAAACGGTTCTTGTGTCTAGTTGTTCTGGTGTGCAGTGGGTAGGAGTTGAAACAGTTTATGTCCAAGATGTGAGGGGTCTGTAAATATTTTCACAGCCCTCTTTTTGACTTGTGCAGTATACAGGTCCTCAATGGAAGGCAGGTTGGTAGCAATTGTTTTTTCTGCAGTTCTAATCCTCTGAAATCGGTGTCTGTCTTGTTGGGTTGCAGAGCCAAACCAGACAGTTATAAAGGTGCAGATGACAGACTCAATAATTCCTCTGTAAAACTGTATCAGCAGCTCCTTGAGCAGTTTGAGCTTTCTGAGTTGGTGCAGAAAGAACATTTTTTTTTTAAAAAAGTTTTTTTTTATTTTTTAGACAAACACACATACAAACATACAATGTATTTTCTTTGAACAGAGTATTTGGCTAGTTCACAAATTTAGACAGCATTTAATCATTTCAATTAAATTTACCATTTCTATATTTCCTTTTTGTCATATTTATTCCTCATCTATTTTTTAAAAAAACCAATATTACCCTTCATCCTCATCTCTAATCTTAATCAAATTCAATTTTTCCCTTCTATTCTATATTATATCCCTTCCCATTGTCATCTATTTTTATATCCATCCTCACATTGGTTAATTATGTAATATTACAATTGTTTAATACAAATTCAACATTTTAATATAAATCAGTTAGTTATATAACTATCTTTTTTGTATGTTAATCAATATGAACATGAATATTCCAATTATTTCCATGCAATCCAATTTCTTACAAATCAATTAACTATACCAATAATAATAAATCAAATAATTTTCCCCATATTTTCCTCCAAACCACAACTTAATCATTTCTACTTTCATCACAATATACAATTAAAAATATTTCAATCGTTACTATTTCCCTAATTAAATTTAAAAATGTTTTAGCTGTTGGCTTCCGGTTTGGCTTCCGTCATCGCCAGACGGTCTTTCGGGACCGCCAGCCTCGTCACCCGTAAGAGCCGCCTCTACAGCTGAGAGACGGCTCGAAAAACTCTGTCTCATTGAGGAGACGTGAGAGAGCCGGCGAGAGCAGGTAGAGCCCTCTGCGAACTCCCCAGTGTTTTTTTTTTACTCTTGGGGAGGAAGCAGAATGTGGCTCCCTATCCAGCTCGCCGCTGCTCCGGGCTTCGGGGGAACTCTGCGCTTTGCAGAGCCAGACGATGGGACCAACCCAATCAGCGAAAACTAACAGACTGTCTGAACAAGCAGGATGAAATCCGGATTTGGGACTCTAAATTGCAAGTATTTCTAACAACCCTATGATTGATTTTAAAAGTGAAGAAAGTGAAAGGGGAAAAAAAAAGTTTAAAATGGCGACTGGCTGAGGCTTGAGAAGAAAGCTGAAAGCGAAAGTCCTTCCGTTTGAACAGTTTAATACGTTACAAAGTATCTGAAACAATAGCGCTGGCTAGAAGTGAAGAGAAAAATTCCTATTTCATGCTTCTTCCTTCTTAGAGACTTGATATTGATATTGTCTGGAGAGAAGTCTTTTTCTTTAAAAAGAGTCTGTTTGTGTGGCAGGATGGCGTTAAAACTGACAAAGCCAGACAACCAAGCTGGGGGGGGGGGCTCCCCCATTTATAAATCACATGAACAAGTTTTGAGCTTGCAGATGCAGAAGAATGGCTTTAAAGACCTAAAGGAATTTGTTTTGGAGGAGATGGCAAGACATGATGAGATTGTGAACCAGAATCTTGAAAAATTTAGACAGGAAATTAAAGAGTTGGTACAACAAAAGTATGATAACCTGAAACGATATATTGTAACAGCTTTGAAAAGCTTTTCAGAAATAATTATAAAGATGGGTAAAGATATCAACTTAGAAATAGAGTCTAAAATGAAGGAAGCTGGTTATAAAATTCATAATCTGGATAATAAAATACAAAGAATTGAAAATGATTTGATAAATATTCAAGAAAATAGCTCAGAAGTAGAGTCTAAAATAAAGAAAGATGATCACAAGACTTACAATGCAGATAATATAAAACAAAGGATTGAAAATGAAGTCACAATGATACAATTCAGATCTATGGAATTTGCGATCAGAATGAGGGGAATACAGGAAAACAACAGAGAGGACTTGAGAAAGATGTCTGCTGAAGTTCTGGCTGCGATTTTAAAGGTTAGTCCTGAAGAGGTATTCTGTAAGATTGATAAGGCCTACAGAGTAAATTCTTGGGTGGCAAAGCAAAGGCAGTTGCCCAGAGATGTGGTGATTTACTTTACTGATAAAGGAATAAGAAATGATATTGTGCAAAAGTCTTTTCACTCCACTCCATAAACGAATGGAAGGAAGATCTGGATATATAAAGAGCTGCCGTCCAAGATGTTAAAAGATAGAAAGGACTTTGGATTTTTGGTGACTGAGCTAAAGAAACAAAACATCCCATTTAGGTGGGATGCTCCAGTTGGTATAATATTGAGATATCAAGGAGAAAGATATCAACTAAATACTGTTGAAAAAGCGGAAGAATTTTACTATAAGGTTTTTAAAATGGGCCCAACATCTCCATGTATGTTACCAGTGTCAGGAACACAGGAGGGGGATAAAGAAAAGCAAAATGAACAAGAAATTGAAATTCAGGATAAGCAGATGGAGATGGAGGTAATGGAAAAACAACAAGTTACAGAGGGCTTTTTGGATGAGCCGCTTTTGGATTCTCCTTCAGAGGCTATAGCTGGATCACCTATAAACATAAGAGAGGCGGCTTTGGACCTCGATTTGATGTTTTATCAAGCTATAGACTAGCATGTAACTCAATCAGCTGATATACAAGTCCTAGGAAGGCAACCAGGATGGAGATCTAAACCACAACAAGTTAAGAAAAGAAGAAGCAGGTCCTACAAAACTAAAAAATTTTAAACTAAACAAACAATTTTTTTTTCTTTTTTAGCCAACAGATTAATGCCAGTTACTTAAGAGACGATTAAACATAATAAGCGGGATTTATAGAAGGCTGATACATGAAAATATAACTGAGGCAAATTATAGACTTATACTATTTTGAGAAGAATAACAGATCTCTGCAGTGCTGGTGTTTTTGGGATGTGGAAGATGGCCTTTGATTGAGTGGATTGGAACTTTCTATTTTGGACTCTTTGAAAAATGGATTACGTATATGTTGAGTTATAAGGCAAGAGAACTATGGAATTGGGGCATGCAGAAGATCTGGTTGTTACCCTAACGTGGTGGTTGGAATTAATAATCTAGACAAAAGACCCTACAGAAGATAGTACATGGAATATAAATATAAAGTCACTCGGGTGGTTTTTTATATACAGAAACATTTATTATTGATGGGGGCAGATGGTAATTGAAGATACTGAATATACTGTTGGAAGCAGAACTTGATGTTACCCTAACATGGGCGATGGAATTAATAAACTAGTTGAAAGACATTACAGAAGATACTATATGGATTACAAATTTAAAGTTATTTGAGGATTTTATTTATATATGGAAATATCTTTTAGTGGTGCGGGTAGAAGAACAAAGATATTAAAAATATTATGTATGGTAGACCTGTAGGATAGTGGGTGGAGATAGGTTAGGTTACTGATTGTTTAGTTTAGGAAAAGGGATGTTATGTTCAGATATTAATATACTTAAAAGATTTGAATTAAGAGATATATGTGTGGGGATGGAGGAAATGGGTAGATTATGAATTGAATAAATGCTAAATTAGGATTTATTATATAGTTTTATAGCTGAATATTGCTTTGAAATGTATAGTATAGGGGG